TTTGCATAAAAATGGTATCCAGCCCCATTGTCCATTGGTCCTAGTGTTTCATGCAGATAGACCTTGTTTACCAACAGTATTTGGGACCAGGATCTTCATCACTAATGAACAGAGTCATAAAGCATGATATCATGTGACAGCATTGACTTACAATGGCAGTTCCAGCGGCTGCTGTTAGGGAAATCCCATATGATTATAGCATCCCATGGTCACATGATCACCATTTGCAATCTCCTGCTAACTTCCCCATTGACTTTGCTTGTTGGAAACCATCAGTGAAATTTCCCACTTTGGAAGACTGTAGTGGATGGGCCAGTGCCACCCTAACAGGTGAGATGCTTTCAGGATTGGACTATAGCAATTCAAGGATGCAATTTGCTAAAATGGAACAGAAGCAAAAGAAAAGGAGTTGCCAGCAATCTAAGGAAATGAGCTTGATGATACTCTATAGAGAGTGCCAGACTTAAAATGCACAGTGAAACAGCAGTATGTTGTTGGTGTCTAATATTGCCTCCTCAGGACACAATGTGGCCGATACTTTCTGAAAACAAATAGTAAAGCAGCAGGTTTTTATAAACTCAGAAACATTGTGTATAGGATTCCATGATGGGAAGCTGATGGTAAAAGGATCTTAAGGAAGGTTGCCATTCCTAAAAGAGAAGATAGATTACAACATAACAGTAGAAGGCAATTCCTGAGCAATTTAACAGTTAAACCAGTCACCTATAGATATGGAGCATTTCCTTTCACTGAGTGAGTCTAACTAGAAGTGGATTATTATGTTCAGCAGAAAGTGGGATCCAGTCTAAATGCTCCCAGCTTTTTGCAACTTTTTAAAACAAAATCAAATTTGGCAAGCTAAAAATTAGAACACTTACTGGAAGACAGAATGCTTGGAAATATATTTGCTTACCCAGAGTCAATTAAATGTTCATCGGTGGAAAAAAAATTACCACTTTTTCAATTTGTGTTTTATTCATCCTTATTATGGTAGTTATCTGATCATGTTGAGAAAATTAGATTTTGAGACAGACAACTGGATGTAATGCCAACCAATACAGAATGGAAAGATTTAAGGATCCTTAGTGAGTAAGAACTTTCAAAGCAATGCCCATTCATGATTTAGACAGAATATTTACTGATTTTTGTGGAAAAATGTTCTCCAACTAATTATTTACACCACTTGTTTTTCCTGCCTGATATAAATGAGTTGGAATTACCTAAGAGCAAAGATAAAACATGACCAGATGTTCTCTAGGGAGTCCATCCAAAATAGAAATAAACACAGTACTTTTCAATGAAAAGATCTTGGGTTTTTTTCAGGGAAAGGGGGAAGAGTTTGGATTCAGGAAAGGACTGGGCAATGTATAAATCCTTATAATAGTGACTTTAAAAGTAATAGAAAAAATCAGAACTTTAAAAAGGTAACCTTCATTTTAATGTTCACTTTCTTTACATAGATAGATTCTACTTAAAATCCAAGTAGAATTAATGATCTTGAATGGCAGTGATGAACAAAATGTGTTGGGCACTATTGAGTGGCTACTTTGCTCCCTGCAGTAACTTTCTACTCATGTAGTCATTGTGAAGGAAATAGGAACGTTTATTACAATGGTGTGTTTGAAATATTTTTTCCACCGATTCGGTGGGCGTGGCTTGGTGGGCGCACTTTGCACGCGTGTGTGAACATGCACTTTGCACAGGCATTTTGAGTCACCTCCTGCAATCCTGCACTCTCCCTGACACTTCAGCAGCTGCTGCGCAGCCATTGCTGTGCCACGCAAAGCAGCTGCGCTTCAAAAGCAGGACATAAAGGTGAGCATGGGATCCTGGGCGGGTGGGTAGGCCCAATAGCAGAGTGTTGGAGAGAACCGGTTCAGTCTCCACTGCTCATCGCCGCTACCGGCTCACCAGAACCGGGCCGAACCGGAAGAATACCACCCACTGGTTTATTATCTAGAAACACAATGATTCCTTGGACATTGCCAAACTGCCTTCTTTGAGTTAGGAAAGCACCTCTCTCCAATTGCAAAGCAACTAAATCACGTAAATTGTAGCTGTGATCTTCTGGATAGACCACAGCAGTTGCAGCTTATTTACCTTTATGGTTAAATGCAAATTGTAACCAAATCATTCTGGTTTTACAATAAAAAAACCGGCAGACTTCCCCACCCCCACCTTCCATTTCCCCCTCCTCTCCCTCAATCCCACCCCACAAAAAAAGAAAAATATAACTTTCATTCTATCTCCCAAGTTATTTGGGTTTGTTTCATTCATTCATTCATTCATTCATGATTTGTTGTGGAGGCAATTTGGAGAAGTTTAATTAAATGTTGACAAAAGAAATTATGGTAGACACAAATGATGTATCAATTAAGGATTCTGGAGTTTTGTAGGTTTCTTTTCCCCATCTGCCAACATAAATTCAGAACCAAGGTCTATGTTCAGGATTCTGGAAACTATAATCCCAAAGTGTCCGGAAAGCTCCAGGTAGGAAAGGCTCTGAAGTATGAGCAGTGCAAGTTAGATGTCTTCCTATTGTTTTGCTGCTCCTGTGTTTTCCAGCTACAGCCCTATTTTAAATATATTCCCTATTTTCTGGCACTTTCTTTTTTTATTTTACAGGGAACTTATGAAGCCACATCTTGGCTTAGATTACAGCAACCTGGAGTCTTATTTGGGAAGAAAAATGATGTTACTTAAACAAAAAATAAAGTCAATGTACACTTGGAATATTATTACGTCAGCGTTCCAGCAAAACTCCATTCCAATCAGTAACTCTGAGACAAGCATAATCTCAAAAGTACCTTTATTAGAGTAGCACCTGGAACATCTGTGGAATCTCGAAACTAAGTTTCCCGGACTTCCCACAATGTCCCAAACTACAATCTTTCCCCTTTTCTCCCATCATCACATGGACCAATCACAATCTGTCCCAGTGTAAGATCCTTTTTCTCTGCTGCGCCACACTTAATAACCTTGAACTAAGAAAAGAATTTTATTTTTTCTACTTAGAACTACTCAATTGAAATCACCCCCTCCCACTTTCTCACGCTATGCAGCAGCTTGAAATACAGCTTCCAAAGCTGACATACAGATTCTTTCACTATTGTATTTTCTCTCTTGATAATGTATGTCCATTCCAGAGCCTATCAGTTATTTATGGTGATGTTACATTAGCCAGGATACTACAGTGTGAGTAGAAAACAGTTTGTTTGGCTGTCAGAGTGCTAGTCCTTTCAGTTCAGTGTGGTGGTTGTGGTGGATTGTAGCTCTACATTCAGAAAGGTTAAAGAGCATTCTGCAGCAACATCCAGGACTTTCCTCTCCACCAAAGTCCTCTCACTCTCATGCA